ACACCCCACCCACACCCACACACCCACACCCCACACCCAACGAAATATTGGATAGACTATTTCGTTATTACTGCAGCATTTATTTTATTGTTGATCAACATTGAGAAACTGGAAGAGTAGCGTTATCGCTATCCTCGATGTATGATGTTCACTACACTACTTCATCACTCCATTTCTGTCCATTTTACATAGAACACAACCTTATATAGGAGAGAGAAGTGAGGAGAAAGAAATAATCAATAGCGAGCAGTGTAAGAAACAGATACGATCGGTCAATGAGGTCACAGTGTCTGAAGTAACAGTGACCGAATGATTTTATATGATTGAGCCGATAAAAGGTGAAGATGAGACGTGCCCTTATTATTGGCACACAGGGACTAAATCGTTCTAATTAGAGTTGATGCGCGATGATACCAGCTATCCAAGCAGAATATTTATTGACTTCAACTTTCACTGATCTTGTCTCTTTCAACTGTGCTTGCGCCAGATGTATATTCAATAACTGATAAAAGTCGGTCTCAACAGTTTATAGGGTGTCCAGAAAGTCACTAGAGTTAGGAAAATTTTAATATCTCCATTATGGCTCGACCAAACAAGCTCATTTTTTTACCAAGGATAGAGGCATGTTCACACTCCAAATCCATACGTACAAAGTTAGTGAAAACCTTTGTTAAGTATCACTATTGACCTCAACAAGAAAATTTTAGTTTTTCACAGATAGGAAGGAAAAACAATATACTTAACGAAGCTTTTCACTAACCTTGTCCGTATAGATTTGGAGTGTAAACATGCCTCTATCCTTGGTAAAAAAATGAGCTTGTTTGGCCGAGCCATAATGGAGATATTCAAATTTTCCTAACTCTAGTGACTTTCTGGACACCCTATATTGTTTTTTTCTTCCTATCTGTGAAAAACTAAAATTTTCTTGTTGAGGTCAATAGTGATACTTAACGAAGGTTCTCACTAACCTTGTTCGTATGGATTTGGAGTGTGAACATGCCTCTATCCTTGGTAAAAAAATGAGCCTGTTTGGTCGAGCCGTAATGGAGATATTCAAATTTTCCTAACTCTAGTGACTTTCTGGACACCCTATATACTCTAAGAAGATGTCTAGGATCTTTTTCATTTGCCGCTTTATCAAACAATCAACCAATTTCTACTATATCCAACCTATTCTTCAGGTTCTTATCGATATAATTGCGTCATGTGCTAGCGACCAATTTATCGAAATCAGAATCTATGCCATATTACTTCAAGAATTCTTGTACAAAAGATACTAGGTAGTTCACATTTGCGCCAGCTATAATTTATTCGATACTTGTTAAGGTGCCTTCGAAACGTTCGCCCCCTACAAACATAAAAATAACCTTGTGGAGAAAGATTTTCTTGAGAAACTACAAAAAGTTAACGGAGTCTTGGGAACTGCCAAGTCAAATTCTTCTTTTCTTTTTAAGGATCGTGTCTATCATTAGATGAATGAAATATCAGTCAAGATGCGAGAACTTGTTACCCATTGAACCTGAAGCATTTTGGAGATTGAATCAGACATAGGAGAGTGCGATATTTCTTAAGTATAAATACGCAGCCTATGCGGGTCAAAATTTAGTACTCGGTATTTGCCTGTTTGCTTCAAATTAAATCTAGACACAGACGTGATTAGATGTTTGATTTGAATATTTCAGAAAGTTCATTTTATTTGGAAAATTTTTGGCAGAAAAAGTTTTGATGATGGATAGGTAAATACGAATAGATCAACTTCAAGGAAACTGAATAAATCTTTGAGAGTGAATGCACGATAATGGAATACACGGAAGGACTTGATTGTTCAGTTAAGCATATTCTCGATTCAATAATAGTAAACCAACCACCAATTGTATCTATGCAACTGAAGCTATTAGTTGATTGCACCCTAACTTTCCGATGCTTACTATGAGTCTCTCTGTTTTAATGAAGTCAATTAATTGTTGCACTCACTCCTTGAATTGTTACTATTGAAATTAGGATTAGAATGAATTCAATCGGTCTTAACTCTCATGTTGCAGCATTGTTCATCTGTTTTTCATAATGATGAAGTTAATCGAGCGCGATGCTCTCACTAAAAGCTGATGCATTGCAAACAAATAAATCCTCACAATTATGTTATCTTCTATACAATGGTGATACCTAGCCTCTACGATTATGGTCTTACACGCAATAATACGAGCAATTTATCTCTCAGATTCATAAATATCATCGATAGGACCGTAAATGTCGAGAGAGATTATCCGTGTGGAGATTTGGCGTAATTGTAGTGAATTTTGGAAATTTGTCGAATAAACGCAGTTCCTTTGTACACAGTGGTTCAGAAATTTATCCTACAGGTGTAGTTTCGATTATTTTCGCGATGATAACTGGCATAAAGAATCCTAATAGTGTTTTCGAAGGAGACATTTATTTTCAACAAATATTTGAGGACAATAAAGCCCGTAACATGTTCTCAAACCCACGATGTCTAGAAAAACAAACGTAGTTTTTCTGCATCCTGAACCTCATAATAATAGTTTGTCTTGATTACACAGGATGATATAGCAACTAATGCTCTACAAAATAAGACTCCTTCAAGCTCTTCATGACGCTTTTGGACTGAACTATATCGACTTTGCGAAATGCTCAAAAATGACAACCATTTCCTACGAGAAAGCCCCAAAACAATGCATTTTGAGATTGCCATAGAATTAATGTAGTTTACAGAAGAACATCTTCAACTGTCAAATCGGTTTTGAGTTCGTATCTTGTGCATAAGATAGATCCCAGGAAGGTGCAAGAAACCTCAAAAAAATAATTTCACTAAGTCTTCTGTCCATAGTTATAGACATTTACTAGGGTGCATGCGTGTGAAAGTATGGGAGTAGTGTGTGTGTTGAGATGAGCTGTGGCAGGGGAAGTCCAAGTGTGAGCGTCAATGTGTGGATGTGGTTGTCTGAATGTGAAAGAAAAAAAGATATCAGTTCACAGCTACAACTACACCCAACAGCCACATGTCGTACCTACACAGACACATACACTCATCGCATCCATACCCAAACCCAACCCCACACTAAGTCTTTTCATCCACACCCACTCATCCACACATGCACATCATACAAGAACATCCACACCAGGGTTGCCAGATCGAAATCTTACAAATCGGAATTCTTTTGCTGGAATTCGGAAAAATTCGGACAAAATATCTGCTTAATTCGGAAAAAAATTCGGAAAGTCATTTTTAAGCTTTTTGACGCTTAAGCGAATTTTTTCTAACAGAAAAGTCTTCTGCATTTGGTTATTCTTTCTGTAGATATATTTCATCAATGTTAAAATAAATGTATTAATTATAACACCATTAGGAAACATCATTCTCAAGAAGAGACTGTTAATACAAGAAAAACAACTCAAAATACACTATCTATACATATGTATATATACAATTCAAAACACTTATGGAAAAACACTAAAGTTCATTTATTAAGACGTGTCTTTCTAACAAATTTTTCATTTGAAGCTATTTTTGTCAATAATTCGTCTTGAGTTAAAAGAAAGTCATAAAAACGTGAACAATGAATATCAGAATTCGTTCAGATTTGTAGTTCAGCTTCAACTAATTCTATATCCATTCGATTGCGATAATTAGACCATAGATGATTCATTTGACTAAATATTGATTGAAGCGAGTCTAATAAATCTTAGACGAGATGACATTTGAAAAAAAGATTATATTAAATCTTCTCTTCTCTACCTTCTCTTCTTATTTCTAATAATGCAATCAATTACCCAATGATTATAAGAAAATAAAGATAGCGCCATATGAAATCTATCAAAATATATATGGAAAATTGTAATGGACAGGAAATTTAAAAAAATACTACGATTCGGAAAAAATCCAAGAATTCGGATAAAATCGGACAGTCGGAACGCAGTCGGAAAAACTTAGAAAAGTCTGAAAATTCAGACTAATTCGGACAATCTGG